TTTGCTTTAGTATGCTTACAGTTTTGCTTTAGGACTTTAATTCATCTGTAATTTATTTTCATGTAAGATATGAGATAGGGATACAATTCGATTTATATTCAAATCCACAGACAACTGTTACAAAACCATTACTTGACTGATCCATCTTTTTCATACAGATATGAAATGTCCTTTTTATCAAATATTGAGGTCCCACCTATACTGATGACCTATTTTTAGCTTCTTTATTAATCTATTTATTTCTGCACCAGTTCTACATGTTAATTATTAAGTTTAGTAGTACACTTTCATATTTGACAAGGCAAACCCTCACACCATTATTCTTTCTTTACATTCTTGACATTATCTCATAATCAGAAAAAATAATAATCGCTTTTTGTAAAAGAGGAATGATCTTGGATAACAGAGCCTTAACTGAAAGAAATATATACATAAAACTACAAAACTTGCATTCCATTTTGTTTACCCTTTCCTAGAAGAACAACTAACAATTAACATCTGCATGGCCTTCAATTTACAAAGCATTTCACATTCATTATGAAAGAATACTTTGTCAAAGAAAATAATCCACTCACTATCAGTAATATATTCCAGCTGAGCCTAACATTTCACAGCTAAAATATATTTCAAAATGCTCATGTTTCAACAACCAAAGTTTATCCTAAATAAAACAGTAAATCATTTCTGTTGTATCTCATGTGCAGATTAAACACTAAATGAAAAGCACAATCACACAGTGGTTACTATGTATTATAATGTAACATTCATTATTTAAACTTAAAATATGTCCACTCTTTGGACAAAATAAAACTTTTAATCATGAAAATAAATTACAAAACCTCACAAGATTAGCTTAAGTCATTTAGATCTTTATTAGACAAAAATCTATCATCTACCTAGTCACATAGTTGTGAATTTCAACTTTGCTACTAAGTTTGACTTACAGACCTTTCCCTAATAAAAAATAAACTTACATTTTTCACTATAAATGATCTGGACCACTGGATTGGGGCCATCATTCTGCGGCACTGGATCTATATCAGCCCATTCTGCTCTGTCCCTAAAAATACATATATTTTTCAGTGATTATAGTCAAGCGTGTAAGGAAAAGAAGAAATCTGATGTTTTTTTAAAAAGGCAACAATTACACTTTAACTTACAAATAACGTAACCATGGTTGGATTCTTCAAGACCAAGTGTTGCCACTTTGTTTGACATATTAAACTTTTAAGTAAAAGAAAAATAAAATGAATAATTTTCCAATTAAAGTTAATAAGTCAATAGTTTTCAAATTTAAAGTTTTTACATAAATGCAAAAGCAGGTTTTTGTAGCAAGTACACAATAGTTTTAAATTATAAATCAATCTAATTCATTGGTCTAATAAGGCTCTTTGGAATCAGTCAACAGTTTAAAAAAATTTGAATAACAATTTTTTATTTGAATACTCTGAATAACTAGAAAGTGATATTTAAAAGTAAAAGTAATCACTATCATTTTTGTTCACTGAGAGGTGGTCCAGGTGGTCAGTAGAGTCTGGAATCTGTGGAACACTGGCTCTACCACTTAACTAGCTGTGTGACCCTGAGGAAGTTACTTAACCTCTCTGGGCCTCAATTTCTTCATTTATAAAATGGAGATGATACTATTACCAACCAACCTTAGAAGGCTACTTGGAGGTTTAAGTGAGATAATAGGTTAAGCTCTTAAAATATGCATAATAGTAAGCATATAATACACAGTATTATACTATATATACACTATTATACTATATATACCCTAACACACACAGTTAGCATATACAATATTATACAGGAAATACACTAAATGTACTATATAGTATTACTGTATGCTTAAATATATATGCTATATGTTATAAATGTAGCATATAATAAATGCATACAGTAAGTATTCAATGAATACTACTTCTCATCATCAATGCTAAAATAAATTACAGTGGCAACACTGGGTGCCTATAGACACTGCTGTGTAAACTGCTCAGTGTGACCAAATTTTCATTAACCACTCTTTTACTTACATTCTTTTCCTATTACCCATTTTTCAGTTCTCTGTACTCATCAGCTATTGACAGCAAAAATTCTGTGCTATCTAGACAAATCCTAAAATTGTGCCCATTATACAAGGAGAAATCCAGGGGAAACAATTACCCGAGGTGTGAGACCTATATGGGGAGTGGCATGAGAATGGTACCGCTGTCCTTCAGACACAGGGAAATAGGACACACTCAAGGGAAGAACCCGAGTATTTCACAGTTCAGAGAGGAGGTCTGAGGGCTATGGGGCCACCTCAACCAACTGAAATCACTAACACTGTAAACTCCAAGAACGAAATCTGCATAGTGGCTTTCACTCAATTCATAAACAACCTACGCAAATCAGTCATCTAATGGGTTTACCTAGAACTACAGAAGAAAAAATAAGACATGAGAAAAGTAAGGACTTCTCAGTCGTCTCTGCAGGTTCAAAATGCAGCTGGGGAACCAGCATGACCAATAGAAAGCAAAGAACTAACGGGGACGGGACTGGGTGGTGGCAAAGGTGGGGAGGAAAGGTGAGAAAGTTACAGCAGTACCCGACACTGCACATGGCTTGCACTAAGCACGAGGCGACGAGGGGATGCGTAACGGAGTTGAATTCTCATAGTCTCATCCTTACAGCCTAACTCGGTGCCTGGCTGACGCTGGGCGCTAGAAACACTGAAAGAAAACGCTGAATGAAAACGTCCCGGTCCCTAAAGATCTTACGCTAGTTCTCTCCGATTCCGCAGAACCAACCACGGGAAGCCCCGTTTCTAAAGCGAGCCAATCTGGACCTTCTCTGCGGTCCGACTGCACCCAAGCCCTTTGGCATTCGGACTACAGCAGGCCAGCGCTGTGGGTTCCGAAACCTCCACCGCCCAGAACGGTGACAGCGCGGGCCCCACCCCGCCGCTCCCGGCCGCCGGACGGCGAGGACGCGCTAGCTTCTGCCGCAGCCGCGCCCCGTGCAGCGCCGCGCGCGGGGGAGGGCCTCCCGCGCCGCGACCATGCCGTGGGCGTTACCTGTACAGGACATAGGTGGGCGAGTCCAGGCTCAGGAACCCGTCGTCCATAGGGGACGCCGCCGCCTCTTCTTGCGGCAGCTGGGGCGGCGGGGGATGCGGCTGGGGCGGCGGCGGCTCCGGCTGACCTGGCTCCCCGCCCTGCGCAGCCTCCCCGACGCCGTCGGCGGCCGCCATCTCTCCTCGGCTCCCAGCTGAGGAGGTGCCGGAGGCCCCGCCCCTGCCCCGCCCCTCTCACGGCTACTTCCGGTTTTTCCGCTCCTACCATAGAGACGCGGGCCGGAGTGCCCAGCGCCCGCGCCCGCACCCTGGCCTGGCCGTCCCTGCTGGGCGCGGTTCTGCACTTCGGGCTGCATCACGCCACCTGGGACCCCAGGTTTCCCACTCGTCCTGTCCGCAGGCCTGTCCGAACGCTTGTAGCTGGTGCTTCGGAACGTACTAGTGTTGTTAGTTGTTAGTGTCGGCGGGAGAAGCTTGGGAGCCCTGGATAAGCAGCTGGCGCCCGTGCTCCGCGTTAGCCATCCAAGGGCATTTACGCTCCTTGCACACATTTTTTTTTTTTTTCTTTTGGATGCTGAGTTTATACCGCAGAATTTCAGTAATCCAGGATTTTAGTCTTTTGAAATTAAAGTTCTAATTATGCAAGGAATATGGGTATACATTATAGGAAAGGTAAACGTTTAACACTGACTACCTAGTATATGCCGGGCTTGCTCATGGCACAAAATAAACTCTGCAGTCAAGGGCTTTGCATTCTAGGGGAGGATAGCAGAATACGCCCCAAAATATGTATGTAGGAGTACAGGACATGCTTTGGTGTTTTGGTTATTTTGAGCTGTTGGCACTTGAAAAACAGTAAATGTGGGGAGAAGCTTTCTCCGAACTCCCTTACATTTCTAAAGACAGACCCTCCAAAATGAACTCAATTGCCGTTAAGTCCCCTCCCTGGGAGTTTCAAGAGTGGAAGTGGACGCCACACCCTGACAAGTTTTGTCAAATTGTCATATCTCCAACCTGTTCTTCTAAGGGCCCGCTCATCTTTCCTAAAAACCTTTTACTCTCCCCCAAGAGGCCTTCATCTCCCATCCCCTTTCCTTATTAAGGTGGTATTTAAGCCTGAGTTCTAAGCCATCTCAGGGAGTTGCTAATTTTTCTCTGGGTATCTCTAGGTATTTTTCTATTTTCTCTAAGGTATACACGAGGTATACATGTTAATAAAACTCCTTTTGTTTTTCTCTTGTTAATCTGTCTTTTATTACTGGGGTTTCAACCAAGAACTCAGAAGGGTGGAAGGAAAATTATTTTTCACCTTCAGCAGTAGATTTTCAGGAAGGCTTTTCAGGGGCTGTTTGAGCAGAGACCTGTGAGAGGAAAAAGCATACCAGTCAGAGAACAGGAAGTGCGTGCTTGGTGCGATCTTGGTTCGGCAAGGATGCCAGCAGGGCTGAAGGCCTGTGAGTGAGGGGAAGGAACTGGTGGGTGATAAGATTGAAGAAGCAGCCAAGGATCATGGTAAGGATTTGGATTTTTATTATTATTTTTATTGTGGTAAAATAGTCATAACATGAAACTTATATTTTTAATCATTTTTAAGTATATAGTTTGGTGATGTTAAGTACATTCACATTGATGTGCAGCCATGGCCACCATCCATCTCCAGAACTTTATCATCTTCCCAACTGAAACTCTGTCCACATCAAACACTCCCCATTCCCCACCCAATCCCGCCCCGGCCCCTTGTAACCACTATTCTACATTCTGTCTCCGTGAGTATGACTATTCTAGGTCCTCATGGAAGTAGAATCATACAGTATTTGTCCTTTGGTGTCTGGCTTATTTCAGTTTGCATAATGTCCTCCAGGTTCATCCACGTTGTAACATGTGTCAGAATTTCCTTTTTAAAGGCTGAATAATATTCCATTGTATGTATAGGCCACATTTTGTTTATCCAATCATTTGATAATGAACATTTGGGTTGCTTTCACCTTTTGGCTGTTGAGAATAATGAAATACCTGTTAGAGACCCCGCTTTCACTTTTGGGTATTTACCCAGTGTGGGATTGCTTGACATACAGTAATTCTATGTTTAGGTTTTTGGGAACTGTTTTTCACAGCATCTGTGCAAGGGTTCCAGTTTCTTCCCATACTCACCGATGCTTGTTTCCTGGTTTTGTTTTGATAACCATCTGAATGAATGTGAACTGGTATCTTCACTTTGCATTTCCCTAATTATTAGTGATGTTGAGCATCTTTTAATGTGCTAATTAACATTTGTGGGATTTGATTTTAAGTGGAAATTAGTGGAAGATTTTGAGTAAAGGAGGGACATGTGATTTACATTTTTAAAGGATTATTTTGGCTACCATGTGTGAAATACACAAAGTAGAAAGGCAAGAATGGAAACAGATGAGTGTAAAGCTATTGTAGCAGTCCGGGCAAAAGGTCAAAGTGTTTAAATTATGCTTCACAATTCACTGATCGATCATAAAGTCATTTTAGTGGGTCCTATGGTGGACAAGGTGACCCACCAGTCCTCCTCCAAGGAGGAACTTGCTGCCCAGCTTTGGGGAGTGCAGTCAGCAGCCAGCCTCCTGCGTGGCCTGAGGACAGCCCACAATGGACTGCTAAGAGACAGAGGGCCTCTTAGGTATGAGGGCCCAGCCATCGCAGCCTGACGGGGACCACTGACAGGTGCCACACGGCTTCCACCTGGGAGGCTGAGACCTCACAGGCCTTGCAGTTTGACCACACGGGTGTTGGTCCCAAGTTCCATCTTAGTATCTGATTCC